GTCTCTCATCCCCTCCTTATCCACAAAAATAGGCAAAAAAATTCAAAACAAAAAGGAAATAAAAATCAAATAAAAATAAATGGTTATAGAGGGGGTGGAGGACATTTGGGGTACACCAAAGGTGTACCCCTAGCATCTACCAATGAATAATGACTAAGGGGCGATTCATGTGATATTGGGATCGAATATAATGGGATGATTGAAATATTTTATTAGGTTGTATTGGTAAAATTAATAGTTTATACCCTTAACATTTTTTACAACCTCCTCCCTGCACCCAACCTCCTAGTCCACTCTACTTCACCAATTGGCTACAAATCCTACAATTCAAACGACAAAGGAGAAGAATGCAAGGGGTTTTAGGGGGACGTGAAGGTTTCATAGTTGGTTAGAGGGCAGTGGCGGATCTAGAAATTGGACAAAATGGGGCACCATTGACCAGGGTCTGGGGGCAGCGCCACCGGATATTTTTTTGATATATTATTTGAAATTTAAAAAAATAATGATTTTTATTTCAAATATTATTGATTGTAAAACATTTTTACTAGGTAATGTAAAATTTTATTTATATTAAAATTAATTATATGTAATAAAATACATTTTACTAAAAAAATTAAATAAAAAATTAAATTTGACCTAATTAGATGGGGTCACATTAACTTTTATCAAGGACATATATTGATAAAAAATATTTTTAACGTTATTATAAAAACTTAGTTGTGGGCATTTGCCCCCTACTCCAAACAAGTGGATCTGCCACTGTTAGAGAGGTAGAAATTATCAATTTTTCAACAGAGTCTTATAGCAAGTTCGGCCATCTTATGACATTCGATGCAATGTCACATGAACCGTAGTGTAATGACAAATTTTCTTTTTTTCCTTAAAAAATTGTTTGAATTTTACAAAGTTTAAAAAAATATGAATTTCTCCCCTAGTTTGAGTGGTGGAATGCACAATCACCAAGATTTGTGGGGTCACATTATTTTTTTTATCAAGGACATATATTGATAAAAAAATTTAAAAAAATATTTTTAACCTTATTATAAAAACTTAGTTGGAGGCATTTGCCCCCTACTCCAAACAAGTGGATCCCCCACTTTTAAATATGTAAAAATTATCAATTTTTTCAACATAGTCTTATAAGAAGTTCGGGCCATCTTATGACATTCAGCGCAATGTCACATGAACCGTAGTGTAATGACAAATTCTCTTTCTTTCTAAAAAAAATTGTTTGAATTTTACAAAGTTTAAACAATATGAATTTCTCTCTTGGTTTGAGTGGTGGATTGTACAATCATCAAGATTTATGTAGAAGTTCATCCAAGATCGAGTTCCAATGGAGATGTAGATAATGGCTCTTTGTACGTCATTACATTGGAAAAAGTATGAAAAAATACTACGTTGTAATTGAGTCAATAACAATTAAAAAAAATCAAAAATTATTAAAAATGAAGAGATACTAGAATCTAATGATTTGGGATTCCCTAGCATTTTGTACTTTTGTAGTACCATCACATATCATCATACTCAGCTCTCAACTTATCTACACATCTATTAAAATTTAAAACAGCCTCCACGTGTCACGAATCCCATTGCCCTTTTATCCATTAGCTCTCCCTCCATGCTGCTGTGATCAACTTCACCTTTCAAGCTCCCAAGCCACAAGAAGAAGCAAAAGCTCGAAAGAAGAAGATATCCAAATTCATGGAGACTGGCGTCACATGCAGCGCACGTGCACCTATCCTTCCCAACATTTCTTCCCAACACCCAGTTGCATTCTTCATTCCAAGGCCCATTTCTCCATCATCATCATCATCATCAAGAAACTGGGTATGTTCTGCAACTATCAATTTCCAAGAAAATAAAGAAATCTCTGAATGAATATCTTCATGTATCATACGTGGTGTTGTGCAGAGTGTGAAAAAGACTTCATTTTTGGGAGATTCAGTGTGGGTCAGGCCCAAATCTTCTTCACAAAGGGTCCCAAGGAGAAAGAACACTTCCCTGGGGGCTAAATGTGAAATTGGGGACAGTCTGGAGGAGTTTCTTGTGAAATCAACCAAAGATAAGGGGCTTACCAGGCTAATGGTGTGTTTAGGGGAAGCACTTAGAACAATTGCCTTTAAAGTTAGGACAGCTTCTTGTGGAGGAACTGCTTGTGTCAATTCATTTGGTGATGAACAACTGGCTGTTGATTTGCTTGCTAATAAGATCCTCTTTGAGGTCTCCCTTTACCATAAAAATTTAGTCTTTTCACTCAAATAACATTTTACCCAAACAGGGTATTGATATTTAGGCCATATAAATTATTGTTTAATTTAATCTTTTTTAATTTTTTGAAATATTTAGGCCTTAAGATACTCACACTTCTGCAAATATGCTTGTTCTGAAGAAGTCCCCGAGCTCCAAGACATGGGAGGCCCTATCGAGGGTTAGTATAAACTGTCGGGCTTTGTTCATATTTGTTACCGTATAAAACATTTTCTGACCTGCAACCACAAGTAACTTGAGTTGATGGTTGAGTTGGTTCTTTAACACAGATATGAATAATGTTTCAATAAACTAGTAAATGATGATTGGCACGTTATATGATCGCCTATCATGGTGATTAAAGTTGCATAATTTTGAAAGAAACTTGAAAAATGTGGCGTATGTGATTTTTTTTTTGTGTAGGTGGATTTAGTGTGGCTTTTGATCCGCTTGATGGTTCGAGTATCGTGGACACGAATTTCACTGTGGGGACCATATTCGGTGTGTGGCCTGGGGATAAGCTAACCGGGGTTAAGGGAAGAGATCAAGTTGCAGCTGCAATGGGGATATTCGGGCCACGGACCACGTATGTTCTTGCTCTTAAAGATGTTCCTGGAACACATGAATTCCTCCTCCTAGATGATGGTACAAACTGATGCTTCTTAAGGGACTGGTTCCTATTATATATACTCTGCTGTATACTTATTATTCGAGTAATACTGTCGAATTATTTCATCGAGGTTCTACATTGAGCAGGAAAATGGCAGCACGTCAAGGATACGACAGAGATCGGAGAAGGGAAAATCTTCTCCCCGGGGAATTTGAGAGCCACATCTGATAATCCTCAATATGCTAAGGTTTCCACTTTCACCATCCCATTTTGCTTTACTTCTCTAACTTCTAGTGCATTTTAATATTATAAGACGAGTACCCGAGACTTTTTCTTAGCGAGTCTGTCAAGTCGGATTGGGTTGGATTTGACCCTGTTTTATGTTTTTTATCCTCTTTGGATTTGTCTAGTAAAGATTTTGTTTGAAACCCGGTATTTTCGAGTCAAGTCTCAAGTATTAAGGGATGTGGAAATCCATATTTTTGCTTGTTTGATGTGAGATAACTCCATAAGATGTTCTGAACTCTTACTTCTCGATAACAGCTGATTGACTATTATGTGAAGGAGAAGTACACCCTGAGATACACCGGAGGAATGGTCCCCGATGTAAACCAGGTGCGTGTAAGAATTTATTCTTTTTAACTTATTCTTATTACATAAATATAACTACAAATCATAATATAAAATCAGATCAGATATGAGATGAGACGAAGAGAGCAAGCTCTAAATCATTGAAAAATAAAATGTGCTAATTCCCAATATGCCCATGAGTATGTGCATGAATGCAACAAGTTTTTAATAGAGAAAACATGGGAAGAAAATGCAGATAATAGTGAAAGAGAAGGGCATATTCACGAACGTGGCATCGGAATCGGCGAAAGCGAAGCTGAGGTTACTGTTTGAGGTGGCGCCCTTGGGATTCTTGGTGGAGAAGGCGGGAGGGTACAGCAGCGACGGGAAGCAGTCGGTGCTGGAGAAGGTGATCGCAGGCGTCGACGACCGGACTCAGGTGGCGTATGGATCCATGAATGAGATCATCCGGTTTGAGGAGACACTCTATGGGTCCTCCAGGCTTAATAATATGGCTCCTTAGTTTACCACAAACCATTCTAAATGCTCTCTGTAAATATGCTCTCTCTGCTGTGAACGCACATATCCAATTTATGCTTGCTGTATTTTGCTCTCTAAGCAGTTTGCCATGCTCTATACTCATATAGGAACCACAAATATTAACCCAGCCTCCTATTGACTAAGTCTCAATGTGAAAATACTGACTTTTGAGGAAAGATCTAGAGTATATGTTAATCCCCTAAAAAATGAGTCAAAACATGACCAACTCAAGTAAACTTTGTTCAAAATCATACACTTTAGGTTAAAATTTAAAGTGATAAAAGTGATGTTGTACTCCCTAATATTATGACCATTTTTCTTATTATTTGTTTTGAGTGTATAAACTTATCTTTTTAAACACACTTTTTAAAAAATCATATTGTTATCTTACTATTTTTCAAAAAAAAAATTACATATTTTTTTTATATTAATTAAAACTGCAAAAAAACTACTACTTCTGTTCCATTTTATAACGCATGTTTCGGTTTATGATGTTTGACTGAAATTATTTTCAGACCATTTTATATGACAAATGGTATAGAATTAAAAAATAAAAATTACATATTAAAAAACTACATCAAAAGATCTACAAAACTAGTAGTGACAATAATATTTTATTTTATCAAATTGCTAATGAAAAAAGAGAAAGAAAATGAATGAAGTTTGACCCTGTGAATAGTAAACAGACATTATAATTTGGGACGGAGAGAGTATTACCATAGTATCAGCTTTAATATACTTGGTATATTTCAATAATTTTATCACTCTCTAATTCTTTATGCAAAAACTAGTGCTACCACAAATTTAAGTAATTTGAAAATAAACATCCATAATCCATTTGGTCATTCGCCTAATAATAATGGGTCATGAATTTGCACTTTCTAACTCAGTCTCAACTCTCAAAGTAACCCAAACTTGAAAGAATCAGACCTGAACTCAAATTCAATCAACCAACTTGTTTGCCAGCTCTACATTCCATTCGCCTAATCTAATCCGGTCTAATTACAGTTATAATTAAAACTATTTCAAATATGGTCTGATCTAATTATTACTCCCTTTGTCTAATAATGTTTTGGCAGAAATCCAGAAATTCTAGCTCTTGCATCTCTTTTCTATTAATTTAACTCGACCATTAACCACTAATAACTGTTCCATAACATAGGGGTGAGACATTTATGAGAGAAATTAATAGGGCAATTGTTACCTGGGATAAAACCCAGCAACAATAACTACACATAACATTGAAAATTTGGGAGTGGCTGTACAGTTCCATTTTCCAACAACAAAAAACACACCAAATCTACAGCATATCATCACGTGAAGTTTCGTCATCGTCATTTCCATCGTCATCATCCAAACAATATCCGCAAGAGGTCGATGCCATTTCGGTCGTCTTCTCAAACACAAACTTTCCGCCCCCGAATTCCCTCACTCCGATGTCCAATGTTCCTCCACTACTATAGAGACCCCTAGTTCCCGAACCCAACATACTCAGCATCTTCTCATCATTACCAGGCAGAAAAGAAGGCAAAACACTCATCAAGGGGGAATTCGATGGATTTGAGCTACTCATGAGCAGACGGAGCGTCTCTCTTGCACTCTTGTCCCCCACTGATTCCGCCTGCGGAATGGCGGTCGACATGCCAGGGCCCGCACTCACCAGATACCCTTGCCCCCCTGAAGAGCAAACGTCAATGAATGGGATGTGTACAATAGGATCGCACATCAGAGGGGTGAATGTGGGGATTTGCTGGGAGATCGGCAACCTGAGTAACGGGTCAGGCAGAAGAGGGGGCAAATCCAGAGAAGAAACGCTTGAAAAATTTAGAGGAAGCTTGGCTTTGGCAGTTGATAAGGGGGGAAAAACAGCAGGGAAAGAAAGAGGTTCGGTGGATAGAATCGGAAGATGCGGAATGCCGAGTGAGTATTGCAAAGACGACACGGGAGGGCACCAACAATAATAAGGAGAACCTCCTAATGACTGATTGGACTGAACCATATGTCCTGGAGTATAACATGGCGAGTCGGAGCATAACAGCTGAAACATAGCATTGTTGGAGGAAGGCTTATCCTCCCCCTCCTCAGATGGTTCTTGTGTATTTGGTGGCTGGACAATACTGCTATCCCCAAGCCTCTTGAGCCTCTCCTTCGAACCATTCCTCAATGAATTCCTGAGAAAGGTGTCCTTGAAAGAACCTGACCTTGCACTCAGGCTGCTGTGATGCTGTATAGTCCTCTGGTCAGATTCTGACCGGTCAGATGCAGCGGAATCATCAATTGAAGAGTCAAATGTGGGGATCGTTGAGCCAACAAGATGGGCCCAGAGATGAATGGCAAAACGCTTCAGCCGTGACTCGGAGATTCCAGTTAGCTCAGCAAGGGAAGGTTTTTTTTCTAGTAAATCTTTCATCTACATCAAGTGAACAATAGAGCGGATTAACAATAGCGTTTTGTTTTAGAATATAGAATTAATCATGAAGGAGTTTAAATCCACCTTTCTTAGCATTTCATCCCCAAGAAGCTTAGACTTTTCCGAGCACCAGAAATAAAAATTTAAACCAACTGGGATTTTTATCACAAAAGAACGTCCACACTGATCTGCGGGGATTCCATTAATTTCAACAGCCGAACAGTCAAATGTGCTGCAAAGGGTTGCTAGTCTATCTGTACTTCCATCATCCCCCATGAATGAAATGCGCAGGTCGGAAGTTGGTAAAAGCGAGAGAGTTAAGTTTCCCCTATTGTAGTAGCAAGGCAAAAGTACACTAATGAGCAGCAGTAAGTGTTAAAAAAAATGATAGATGTCAAAAAGAACTTGATAAATGCATGTTGCCTTAGGTTATGTTTGGAACATGAAAAATAGTACAGAGATGAAAAGAAAAATGTGAAGGTAAATGATTCTTTTATGGTTTATCTTTGAAAAAAAAGTACAGAGATAAAAATTTCCTTCAAACACAACTTCAAGATTTTACAAATATTTAGACTACTTGGACTGTGTTATACTCCGTAACCATATTATGGAAGTATGTCTTTGAAATTTTGAATAAAAATCTGAAATTTATGTATTTAGTGTAAACCTATTTATTACCCTCTCTCAAATTTCAGTTCTATTTCTTATATCTCTGAGTTCAAAACATGCCTTAAATATCCAGATTGGAATGCTTCTGAGGTTTGGGATCTGATGATGGGCCAAAACTATTTTACATGCACAGAAGAAAGGACGCTTGATGCAAATCAACTTCATAACTGACTTGAAGACACAGTTCATAAAGACATGAAACCTTAAAGACATACTCCCCAAATCCATAGTTAGCAAATACTACCCATACCCAGCACAAGCAAATGATATAGAAACAAAAGAAACAACAATAAAAATAGACTATGAAATTGATATCCCTCAAAAACATGTCTACTTGGAAAGATAATTAAAATTTTAAAATACATTATATATAATCGTAACGAGACCAAACGGAGTTAATTAGCAATGTTCTCCAGTGAAATTTAAACAGTGCAGTTTTTTTGAACACGTGATGGTTGAGAAGGCATTGACTAATTAAATAGAGAACAATACGCAAAAGTATATAGAATATCACTCAAAATGCGAAGCGCATGGAAACAAAGAAATGACTATACTCTAGAATGGTCAAGCATTGGAAATCAAATAACTTGATGGCAGATACTGCATTAACAGAAAAAAATGCAAGAGCACGATACTACCTTTACTTCTTATTCAGAGATCATAATAGTATACGCCCAATTTGCCTACAAGTCAAAAGATGTATTCATTTGGAAGGATGAACATTATTGTTACTAGAAAACAATACATCAATCAAAAACTATTGTTGATTGATGGTATATGAATAAAATCTAAATAGGTTTACAGTTAAAATATGATATGATCTGCAATAAGTCCACATCACAATTAAGAGTATACATCTAGGGTAAAACATGGAAAAACGAAAAACAAAATACTAACAAAGGATTAGAATGCAATCAGATTATTCTAAAGCAAAATACAAACCGCAAAGATAAGTTCAAAGTATTGTTTTTCAATAGAAAAAAAGTGAATATAGGTAGGAAAAATTACAAATTAATAATTATTAATAATAATTATGGAGAGATGGAATATAACTTTAACTGAGGAAGTGAACTTGATTCTATACGGAGCATCAACAAATATAAACAAACTGAGTTAACATATTAAAAACAAAATGATGTCAATGCTAGCACTTTTGTTAAAAATTAATCTACTTTATGACATCTACATTCTAGCAACCAAATTTTGTACACATAAGACCAACCTCAACGGTATCTCGACTGTCAATGTGCACCTCCTAGCTATGAACAGTGTCACATTTCAAGACGCAGTGGTCTAATATAGAATCCGGCATGCAGTTTCCATCATGAGATGGTTAAGGTACGTCTGCAATTCATGTACAATAAACTCAAAAAAGAACCCTAGACTATGGATCACAAAATATCTAGTGTATCCTATTGCTATTCGCAACTGAGATTGAAAATGCATAAGCATTGGCATGAAATAAATCAACCAATCACATAGGTATTAGTAAGAAGAAGAAGAACAATAACAAGGGCTTAGGGGGACACATTAAACACGCAACTGATCAAGAAAATCTCAACCTACTCACCAGATAAAACATGACAAACCTCAACAATAACATTAACCCAGTAGAATCCCACAAAAGTATGGTCTTGGTAAGCAGACCCTACCCCTACAGAGGCATTACAAACCTCAAAATAACTAATCATTAAAAAGATGTAATGTATTTTAACTCACATAACTTAATCTGATACAAGTTTTCTTAAATCATCTTTCCCTATCAAATATTTCCCAACAAACACACACAATAGAATTTGTTTTCTAGAACTGTGTTACTCATTAAGTTAGCATTGTCACAAGAGTAGCCTAAATATCCTAGAATCACAAAATAAATAAATAAATGTCTAACAAATGTTGCTTGTTTGTTAAATTAAAGTTGGGTCAGATATCTTTTGAGAAAAATGCTCCAAAAGGGTTGCCCATTTTCAAAACATAAAAAACTCAAGACCAAAAATTTGTAAACCTCAGCCTATCCTAATCAATCTAGTGAGATAATGAGAGTAAATTAAAGATCAAAATCACAACTTCTATAACAAACATTCAAACAATGAACAAGATTGTTCCTTGCTTCCATCATCATAGAGAATGGCAAAATGGCAACTACCTTATGGAAGTTGGGCACATAAGTGTTCCTTGCTTCTTGATCTTTCCAACACGCACTGAAACCAGAGGAATGCACAAGCATCTCACCAACATCCCAACCTCAGCTGGTTCAAAGTGCTGCTCCATCAAAACATATAAATCCGTTAATACATTGATCCATACCCCGAAACACAGATTATCTACATTCAACACCTTAGATCACCAAAAACCGCTCTACAATCTTTATGGCACCAGAGGTATATTTTCACAGAAAATGCAACATCTTATAAAAACCTAGCACTCCTGTAAGTATACTAAAAACAAAGTTATTTAACCTGTAAGAACATCCACAAAAGCGCAGATCCAAAGACAAACCTGACTGAGATAAGCGAACAAGCAATCCTCCGCAGCACCCGTGGAGATATTCATTTTCAGCAAAGGCTTGAGCCTATCATCAGATCGACAGGCACCCATCACCTGCATATCCAAAGCCTGAAGCCACTGCAAAACACTGCAATCCTGATCGCTCCGTTGGAGCAACAGATCTCCATCGCCGTCCTCCACCAAGATCTCCGTCAACCTCTCCGCTAGCCCCGTCCGCCGTCCGTCTGCTGCCGAACTCCGTCCAGACTCCACCGGGGTTCCGGCCGACTCGGTTCCTTCAATCGGACAACAAGCGCCGACGGATTCGTCGACATCATCCATATTCCGATCGTTCATAGATCGATTCTGCCCATCATTAGCCATTTTACTTCGTAGATTAGAAAAATTAGATTATTTCTGATCAAATTCCTTCAATTTAAAATCTTTAAAATCGCTTATAAATCGAAATCCAAATTCAATCCTGATCTTGTGGAGCAATTTAGAGAGAAAAGAGCGACAACAATACGTCCAAACGCAGCGCAAATGCAAGCTTGATCGGCCTCGAGACGGTTTAATACCGGAAGGGAGAATGATAAGATGTCTGTCCGGACTTGAAATTCAAAACTTAAATCTCTACTTGAACTGCACTTGGAGTCCGAAATATCTTCTTCTGGACCCGTCGTACACGTCAGACTTCAGTATCCGCCCGTGGGGACATGTGAGTGGGGCGCCACGTAACTTATGTGATTTCACCTTTGATATAGAAAGTTTATTCAAATAATGGTCACAAACTTTATAAATTTATCATTTATAATTTAAATTTTCATTTTAAAATTAGTTAAGACTATTTAATTTTTTTATTGAAGTTCACAAATCATAGTTTTTTGAATTGTGTGACCATTTTCTTTATAAATCCAGCATTTCTCATATAGATATACTCAATATCTCTCTCGTTTTAATTTTTTCAATTAAAGGTCTCATTTGGTACCAGCATTAGAGATTAGTGTTAGCATTTTGAAAAAGATGTCTGACGATATCGTTAAGCGTTAACATTTTCCAAATTAATCTATACCGTTAAAATTTTATCCAAAACGTAAACGCTAATAGAAAACGCATATCCCAAACAAGACCAAAATAGACAAATTTTAAACAATAAGAGCATGTTTGGTAAGTTTCGGATATGTAATATGAAATGAATTTTAAAATTTCGAAGCAGTAATATAAGTTTTGAGACCTGAAAGAAAATTATTTCAAAGATTTAAAATTATAATTTAATAAGAAATCACTCTAAAAGTAAAACATAAAGAAAGTATCAAAATAGACGCTTCATGTGTTTATTTTCACACTAGAAGTTTTCACTGTGGTAATCTCACACCGTATATAGACATCTTACAATACTTTTGGAAATGTATATGACCATGATTAGAATTGTAAATTTATTTTAACTCTTATTTCGAAAATAAAACATGAAACTCTAATTTTTGATATATTTTAATATTTCAATTTTACTTTAATCTTTTTCCTAATTTAATTAGTGATTAGGTGATCGCACACAACAGGATAGTTGGTGGTGTTAGTGGTAGCTGATGGCATGAGGTTGGTTGACGATTAATGGAGATATCAAATCTCACGTTGATATCTCTCAAATTTAGAAGATATCGAAACCATCCATTTTAAAAATTTGTATTATCTGAGATATTGAATTTGAATTCTTTTGATGTCTAACCAAATTTATAATATCGGGATTGTATGGAAATCATCCTATGCTCGCCAAATGGTCATAATAAAAATAAAAATGACGTTATATATTGATAAACACTTTTATAAGATTTATTTAATAAAATATTTTTAAAATATTATTTTATCTAACTCATATATTGTATTTTTATTGAATCCGGGGTTAAAGGTTGAAGATAGAAAAATATATAAATAAATAAATTGTTATTTTTAAATAATGAAATGTAATTTTTTGGAAGAATTTTGTTATTATGACCATTAATTCCACATATAAAATGAGAACCTTCTCATAAATATTGCATTATTAGTTCAATTTACTTAATTTTACATGTCTTATTACATAAATTATTTTATGTATATAAGTTTATAATATTAGGGTGGGGTTCCCATGACATTAGAACCCAATGTCATGGGATGACACGGAGTGCTCTGGTGCCTCGTTCGTAAAATTGACGATTTCTACCTCTCTAACCCCCCGGTAAACCCCCACCCCGCAGTTGAAGGGGGTGGGGATCGAGAGTGTTCGGGTCAGGAAGAGGTGTGAGGTGTGGGGTTTATCGGGGGGTTAGAGGAGTATGAATCGTCAATTTTACAAACAGGACACTGGAGCACTCCCGGGTCATCCCATGCCATTGAGTCCCATGACATTGGATTCCAGGGACAATATTAACATGAATTTGTTTTTCGAGAGCATAGAATATGAAAGTCTGAGACACTTTATTATTTGAATAATGCTAGGGATACACCAAAAGGTGTACCCAAATGTACACCACCCTTTTTTCCTCCACACATTTTTATTTGATTTTTATATACTTATTTTTTTTTTGAATTTTTTTTACTTTTTTTAGTGGATAAGGAGAGAGTGAGGGACATTTGGGGTACACCTTTGGTGTACCCCTAGCGTTTTTCTTATTATTTATCCAAAATTGGCCCAAAGCTCTTCTTAACTGACCGAACCATTTATAAGGATATTTACTCACCGTCCCCTTAATTCAAGCGTTTCCTTACTCCTTACAGCCATGGCCGCGGCTGCACCAAGCCCTCGTCCTACCTCCAAACCCTACGATGCCGACGTCACTATCGTCTCCGCCAAGCACCTGAAGAACGTCAATTGGAGAAGCGGCGATCTCAAGCCCTACGTCAGCTTCTGGATCAACGGCGGCCGCCGTTTCTCCACCAAATCCGACGATTACGGCTCCACCCGCCCGGTATGGAACGAGCGGTTCGTGGTTCCCCTCACGCTCCCTCCTCAGGAATCGGTTCTCACTCTCGAGATCTTACACTCCAAACCCTCGGAGACGGCCAAGCCTCTGGTCGGAACCCTAAAGCTCCTTCTCAAGGACGTGACGGACTCCGATGATGCCCCAAAGCTTAGAAATTTCGAGCTCCTCCTCCCTTCCGGCCGTCCTCAGGGCAAGATCCGGCTGAAATTAGTCATCCTTGAACGCCCCACCCCGACTCCCCAACTTTCCTCCCCTCCGATTTCCAGCTATTATTTCCCGCAATTCTCTGATCCCAGGGACTATAGCCCTTTCAACCCCACCAGCTATAGCAACCCACAACACTATTCCACCCCATCTCCCCCAACTCCCCTTCCTAACCCTCATCCTTATCAATACAGCGGACACTCTGACCCATACTCTAACTACTATAACACTTACTACTCCCACCCTCCATATCCGCCGCCGCCACGACCATTCTTGGACCGACAATCTGGCTATGCCAGGCCGGGGCCGAGTGCACCAGTGGATTATGCACCACCTTATGAGAACACTCGCGGTGGAAAGCTTGGAGTAGGAACTGGATTGGCAGTTGGAGCTGTGGCCGGAGCCCTAGGAGGGATGACATTGGAAGAAGGCTTGAAGTATGAGGAAGAGAAGAAGCTTCGCGAGAGTGGGGTTTCTCCTAGGGATAGTTTCAGTGATTACCGTGGTGATTATTAGCACTGCCGCAACCTCAATCTTGCCTACTACATGGTATGCCTCACTCTTATGCCCTACATATGGATTATTTTCATACATTCGCGATTTGCATCAGTGTTTATGTAAATGAAATGTGAAAACTCATGCCTAATCTTGGATGGTGTTATTCGTGCTTCGTGTGGAAGTAAGTAGTGTTGCAAATATTCATCTATCTATTTCTCATTCTAATACTGTTGCTTAGACATAGGTATTGATGGACATGGACTGCCTTGTCATATAGAATTAATCGGTTCTAGTTTTTGGTCTAGGTTCGCACGTAGGTGCGAGGCATCAGCTTGTAGGATCAAGAGTCATAGCATAACAAGTACCTTTAACGTCTTTGCTTCCTCATCTTCGCCATTGTCACTTGCCCCTACAATGTACTGCTTGTCCTCCAAAAAACACATACATGAACTCATTTAGCAATCCAATCAGCTAACAATGGACTGTGTATGTGTTAATAAACATGTCTTAGTTATCTCCAGCTGGAAACATAGATGAACATCTTGGGTGCAAAAATAAACCCATTACCCTCAAATAATGTGAACAAGAATGAAGCAGATCCTCAGCCAGTTTGATTTTATAATAGATATGGTTTAGCCTTTAAAAAAATGTAATCTATACTATATGATGCAAATTAGCTAGGTATGTTGGATTAATCAAGTCTAATAAATAATTAATGGATATTGGGCCTGAGTAATTAATTAAGTGACAGGTCTTGTAGACCAAACAAGATGTAAGTGTACAACATGTAAGGAAATGGTGTTAGTGGGTATTAAGGTCCACCAATCCCAGAAGTAGTAACCTAGACCAATTATAAGCCTGGGTGGGTTTAGGAATAAACGTTAAGTAGGGCGCAAGATTCTAGAGAGATCAATTTGAGTTTTGAATATACGGCGTATTGAATACATCCCCCTCAAAAAATCATTTCACATTTTGTTTCTTTGGGTCATTTTTTACACTTTGACTCAAAGTTGTGAAAACGTTCAGCTTTTTTTAAATGCTTTCATATCCTACAGTGTAATTCAATTATATAATCTCCAACCTCTCAAGCGCAAGGGTGAGGCTTGAAGCCTTGCACGTAGAGAAGCTTGGGTGGCTTTCTTGTCACTACGCCAACATGCTTCCACATTCTGTTTAGTTATGATATAAATTTAATACTCCATTCGTCCCAATTTGAATCGGTTGTTTCGGTTAACGATGTTTGATTGAAGTTATCTTCAAGACAATTTATTTGAGAATTCAGTTAGAATAAATAATAATAATTTACATAGCTAAAGACAAGATCAAAAGTTCTACAAAACAAGAAGTGTCATGATTATGTTATTATATCAAAAGACTAATCAAAATAGGGATACAAAGTGAAAAAAGCTTGGCTCTATAATACTAAACAGAGAGTATATAATTGAGTTCATTCTAGGGAGTAGTTTTGATATACTCCATATCAAATAAGTATTACATTTATTAATATAAAATTACTTCATCATGTCCTATATCTTTCTTTTCAACATTTGTGGTCAATGTTTTAAAATTTTGACAATAATTATGAAAACACTACATTAATAATGTTAGATATTTAATACGAGTATTTATATATTCATTTTGAAATGTTTGTAGTTTTGACATATTATATTTTTATATTCTATATTTATATATAAATAGAGATATTGATAGTCAAAGTATTGAATTTGAGACTTGTGAAAAATTAGATGGGAATAAAGATATGGGACAAAGGAGTATATTTATTAATGATTAAACTGTGTAGAAAGTTGAGGAAAAATAAAAATGTGGAAAGATTTTTTTAGGAGGGAGGTACTATATATTTAGGTCTTAGATGATTCTCCTAGATCTAGTGGCATTGAGGTGCCACATCCTTTTTGGGATAGTGTGTTTCTTTTACAAAATTGATGGTTTTTGTTTTCCTAAATATCTAATCCACCTTTCCACCCCTCCCTTTTTTTGTCGATTGGCCCAACGATAATTAAGACGAGACGTTGGCTGAGGTTTGAAAGAAATTACGTGTGGAAATCATTAGTTTTAGAAAAAAGATTAAACTAAGAGCAGAACATGGAAAAAATATCAAAATGAAAGTTACATGTTTATTTTGTTAAAATGTTAATAATGTTAACATGATGTTTCTCTCTGTTGGTATTTAATGACTTATTACTCATAAGTATTTTTAACTTATAAACATCGTATAAATCAAATATTTTTTTCGTGGAAGTAAAAATGACTTAGAGCATCTTTAATGTAAAGATAATGGAGGGTTGTTTAACTTGAAAAAATTAATGTGCAGCTAATGTGGAGTCTAAGTGGAACATGCATTGCTAAATTTACAAGTGTTTCTTAGCTAGGGACTCCCTTAAGCTACCTCACTAAAGTTGCTCTTAATTATATATAAGTCATTTGAGAATATTCATAAATGGTAAGCAATAGTTTTGTAAACAATCTGGTCAAAATAGAAAAATAAAAAAAATTAGCTTAAAAATAAGTAAGTAAAACTTATTTATTTTTTCTAGCTTATAAATAATGTATAAGAGGCTGTTTGTTGGAGCCTCTTAATGGTTCAGATGTTTGAATCGTTCAGCACTTAATGATTCAGACGGTTTGTTTCAGCCTCTTAATGGTTCAGATGTCTGAATGGTTAAGAGATTTGCCTCTGAGTGGTTAAGTATTATACAGAGTCTGAATGGTTAAGACCTCTTATCTGAATTGATCAGACATTTGCCTCTGAATAGTTAAGCAATATACTAGCTCTTAATGGTTCAGATCTTTTACTGGTTCAGCACTTATCCATTCAGACTTCTTAACTTACACTTGTTTTTAGTGATTTCTTCTTTTAATTATACAAAGAAATCACGGCAGATATTTAAATTGGATCCAATGTCAAAGAATGACTAGATTTCAATATTACTAGAACCATAACAGTTCAAGTTAGGTGTGATATAGGACACATTCTATGGTGGATTTAAGGTCTACTATAGATTTACATATGAACAAAATAAGCATTTCTCTACTACTTAAATAAGCAATTATCTTTTTTAAAATAAAAAAAAATATGTGAGAAAATTTACAAAAACAATATGCACTAAAAACACAAGTTAACCCACCTCTTATACACCCCGTACTCATTATTGGTCTAATTTAGGCCATGTTCTCTTCAACTTAGTATGTGTTTCTCTATACTGGTGTTTGTTGACGTATTGCTTACAAACACTTTTGGCTTATAAGCTATTTAAAAATTAAAAAATCTTTTGTATAGGTAAAATGACTTAAATGATACTCTCGCCGTCCCAGAAAACCTTTCTCCTTTCTTTTTTCATCCGTCCTAAAAAATACTTCTCATTTCTATTAAAAAATCATTTTTACCCCTTACTTTTTCATATCATACCTATCACATCATACCTTTTTACTAATAATCTATCTATCAAATCATACTTTTACTCATCACATCAAAGGGCATTTTTGGAAATTCAATACCAAAATACACTCCCCTTAAATCCCTCTCCAAAACCAAAACTCCTATGTTTTCCGGGACGGAGGTAGTATATAAATCATTTGAAGATATTCATAATATGTGAGGAATACTTTTGTAAGTAAACTAGTCAAAGTGGAAAAATGAAAAAACACACTTAAAAATGACCCAACCTGTTTTTGACGAGAAACCCAACCTGAAAACATTGGGTTTTGAATAAAGGTTTTGATGACTGAACCCGAAATTGATCGAACCTGAAATGACCCGCTAAAAATGGGTCAAACCTGACTAAATCCGAACCCGACCTGACTGACTTGCTAAAGTAAGAGTTTTTCAAAATCATACACTTTACTACTCGTTTTTAGTGTATAAATTTATATTTTCAAACAAAATTTTAATGATATTGCATAATTATCTTACTTTTTTCTAAACTTAAGCATTTTTTAAATTCCATATATTGATTTATATATCTAAGAATTACTTCATAATTTAAAATAAAATAATCTAATAGATTTAATGCATTTTTTTGATATTTTAAATTTATTTAATACAAAATGCAAGTGTTAATGTAATTTTAAAAATTTAAAAAACCAAAGTCATAACTCGTTACATCGACCTGAATCCGATGACACTGGGTTATGAATATACAGTTCTCAACCCGAACCCGAATTGACCAAACTTGTAATAACTCGAACTCAAAGTGACCGAACCTGAACCCGACCTGAGTGGCCAATTCGCCAGCTCTAAGTAGAAGTCATCTTATAAGCACAGAGAATCACATCATCTACTGACTTAAAAATTAAAAACTATTTATAAGCAATTTTGATCATCTTATGATTATAGAGAAACACTCATTTTTACCAACTAAGTTTTACAAAATACTTCCTCCATATTTTTTTGTGTATCCCTCAAAACATTTTTACCACACATAAAATGATTAAAATAAACTTCTTTTTGTAGTTTATTACGATTAGAAGTTGTTTTGAGAGTATTTTAAACATTTTATGAGAGCAAAAGTATTTTATGAGGTCGAAAGTTAGGGCGAAAGTGCTTTGTAAAACGGAGAGAGTATTATTAATTAGAGTAAATTTCATAAAAGGTTCCCAGTTATAGATTGTTTTATATATTTAGTCCCTACATATTAAATATTACTAATTTAGTTTCCAATTATTATATCATTTTTCACGAATAGTTTTTTGTTAACATTTTTGTTAAGAGATGGATAAAATTGTATATTTATACTTCTTTCTCTCCTCAATTAAACTTCCTCCCCCTCTCTTACTCTTTCCCAAACTCGTCGCTGAGTTTGAAGCTCTAAACCCAAAACTGAAATGATCGCTCTTTCTCAATTATTAGTCTTTCTGGTGAAATCTAAACTAAAACCAATAAGGTTTATAGATGAGTTTTTTCGGTTAGTCTCAAGAAATTGAAAAAAAAAAATAAACATTATAATTCATCCATTAAGGTTACTGGTTACGAATTTGGGTTCCACCAGTTCGACAAACAATTGAGAGAAAAGTGATGATTTCGGTTTTGGGTTCAAAACTTCAAATTCAGCGACGGGTTTGGGAAATGAGTGCGATGGAAAGGAAGAAGTTTAATTGAGGAGAGAAAAGAGTGTGAATTTACAATTTTATCTACATTCTTAATGAAAATGTTAACAAAGGACCATTCGTGGAAATGAATCTAATAATTGGGAACTAAATTAGTAATATTTTATATGTAGGGACTAAATATGTAA